GAATCATCGAAGGGTTCCAACTTCCAGTCTTGTAACATCTAGAATGTTAATGTAGGTACAACCATCGTTTAATTCTCCTACAGGCCCATCTCCAATTCTAACAATGCAATCAGTAAACGTTTCTACCTTGTCACGCTCGCATGTTTTTTTGAAAGTCGCAACACAGTACAATCCCTCCAAATGGTGGAAGCATTAATAGTTGCATTCACAATATTCTAACAATTCCCCTTTGAAATGATTGGAAGTATTTGTCAGAAGTCTCCACAAAAAAATAACGAAATGAAAGTGAAAAGATAAAAGAAACAATAAACAATAATATACCTCAATATTATGAAAAATAATTTCTATGATGTTATGATAAGAATTAGGAAATTTACTCTCAAACATGCGAACCACTCGAAGTTGCAACATAACTCTTTTTACTCGTTCAACTTCCTCAATAAGATTGAAAGGTTGATCTATTTTTTGTTTGACACTTACTATGGATTCACTAATTTCTCGTTTGTTTGTTAATGGTTATTTTTTTGTGTGGGGGTTGATATGATACTTATAAGCATACTAATCGTTTTAACAACAAATAATATGGAAATAAAATTACATTGAACGCTAATGGTGATTTTTATTCATATTGTATATTTTTTTCACGTGAATGCTAATTGTGTATCATCAAAATTGTGTATTTGTTTCACGCGTTGTTTATTACGTTTTTTATTGGAAAGAATGAGAAAGTTGTAGTTGTTTATATCAATGTTTTAAATATCGTACCGTATTGGCCGGTAATACCTATAATACCGGATACCGGTCATTGGTACGGTACAATTACACTTAAAATACCTAATTTACGGTTATACCGGTTTGTACCGGGATCATACCGTAAAAACCGCAAAATACCGTAAAATAAATCGCTATAAATATGCTAACATAATATTGCATGCACCATTAAATCCGCTAACAAATATGCTATAACAAAATATATCTAACAGAATATTTAAATACAATTCGGATTTCATTTTAATAGGAAATTATAATAATGTAATTAATATTTTTTTTTATTTAAAATACATTCTAAAATTACCATATTTAGTGTGTAATTAATATTTTGGCGAGAAAGACTTTCTAGAAGTGAATTATGTTAATCCTTATTATATATTAATAGATGTCCATTCCATTATTATAATTCTTTAAAAGATTTATAATAAATCCAAAACATTAAATTTATTAAAAAGATCCCTAATTTATAAGGATTCATGTATGGAATGCACTTCTTTCCTAAATAATTTGGATAAGACTTCAAATTAATTCATAAATAATTTAATAAGAATTCTTAAGATAGTATGTAATAAATGCTTTCCTTAATTTTCGATTACTATTTTTAGTAAATAGTAATTCTTTTATATATATATATAGATTTCAACTTTCAGGTACATTTGACACAATTCATTATATGGCTATGTTTGGTAGACAAATAAGCTAGCTTATAGTTTATTTGGTTAGCTTATATGCTCCTCGTATTCAAATATGCCTCGTTTGATAGGACGAGCTTTTTTAAAAAGTTCGAGCTTATATGATAAGCTTCCTTAGGTAGCTTTTCAAATAAGCTAGTTGAATTTTGTATTCCAGCTAGCTTATCAGCTAATTTTACCAAACACTTCTATCATATAAGCTGCCTTATTAGTTATAAGTCATAAGTTATAATCTATAAGCTAAAAAATTACTGATAAGCTATAAGTTAACTAATCAACTATCAGCTAACTTATCAACTAGTTTTACCAAACATAGTCATCATGTAATTCATCTGTTTGGTGATTCAAAATAATAATACGAAAAATGAATGAACCATATATATATATGAAAAAAACATTAAAAATCATACAAATATGTGAAGTGTGTATTCCAATACATTGGACATGCACATTACAAGATGTCAATGAAGATAATACCCATTCAGTTTCACAAAAATGAATATTAAGTTAAATAAAGTGTTGAATTACATTCCTTGATGGAGCAAGGTATGAGAATCTCACCAACATTGACCCTCGGAGCAAATACATTTCCAAATAAAATAAAATAAAATAAAATAAAATAAAAGGTTCAAAAAGAAAAAAGACAAGGGTAGAGGACCACTGGGAAAAAAATGAAATGAATAAAATTGCTGTTCTCTTCATATGCTTTCAACATGGCCTTCTCTCATATATTCCTACTTACACAACCAAGCAAATCAGCAATCATCAAAGGGAACAGCAATAGTCAAATTCACAAATCGAAACTAATGCAGGCGGCCACAGAGAAACTTCTTTCAAGATATGCCTACAGTCTTCCCGAGAAGCCAGAGTACGAGAGACAACTCTACCCCGAATATGGTGTGGAGATAACTTCTGTCCAGCATGGACCCAAATACCGTAATTCCAGCTCTATTGTTCTCAAGGTACTGAACTGCAAGTAACCACATAGAAAAAAAGTGCATCAGTACATAAATGCATAATATATGATGTGATCTGGTGAAGAGAAACTAGAAAGTACCTAAGGCTTGTCTTTTCTGAAAAGAGATTGTGCTGAGGGCATATGCCGGAAGAAACTTGGTGTTGTCGAGCTCGTCCTCTTCATCACCAACATCATCAAAGTCGTCAGATGAACCTGCTGAACTCAAAGTTGGACTTCGTTCGCCCGTTGCCTGAGCAACTGGGGTCTCGGTTTCTGCCATGTCAAACGAGTCAATCGTGGCACACGCGTGCCATTTGGCAGCGAAGCTCGTCACGGCCTGCGCTTTATGCGTGATCCGGGCTGCGCTTCGTAAAATAATCAGGAGCCCTGCTAGGAGGCTGACCGAGCAAACCTGTGGTGTCAAAAGCAAAGAAATGGAGAAAAATCAGTTCTAAATGCCAAATCAAAGCTAAAATGATTCTTACAGTTCTGGGCATCTAAAAAAGAAAGCTCTTGATAGAATGAAAGAGTATATTAGACGCACCAATATAAAGTAAAATAAATCTATCAATTAGTTTTTAACCAAAAGATCTCACATTTCTTAGGAAGCTGGTTAACCGAAATTGAAGGACGGAACAGACACTCAACTGGAAAGAGCGTATCAGTAATCTGTTGATTTTCTAAATAGCAAGAAAATTAAAATTGGCATGAGCATAAAAGTGAATGATTTGTACCGCTAGTTCTCCACAGTGATATATATTGACATGCGCATTGGGACGTAATGTCATAAGAAGGGAAGCAAACTGGCTGGCCGTGATGAATACGAGCGCCCACAATATGAATACTCTGTACCTATGGCTTATAATCTTGAGATGCCTTCTGATCCTGAGGTGCTCCCTCAGCACCGACTGCACATCCGAATGGACTTGGAAAACGAGGGCGAAATCCTGCATACGCAGGATCTGAAGGTAGCATATGAGTCGGAAGAGGATACAGACCAAGAAGAAGACCATTGTTCGGTAAAACCACGAGCAGAGCTCAAGCACGCAAGCCACAGTGTTGCTCACAATCACGTTCCCCAAGAAGGGAATGCGCGTTCCTCCGGAGCTGTACCACCAAATCTTGTACGCACTCTCAGCCGCAAAACATGGCAGCACAAACACGAATAATATCTTCAGCGATCTCTGCACGTCGATATGCACAATTTCAGCATATTGCAGCAGCTTATTGCCATCAAAACATACAATGATCTTAAGGTTACGCACACAAGCAAGCACGGGTGTGATTTTTGTGAAAGCAAGTGATTCCAATGAGGGTGAACATGATTCTAACCGTTTTGTTTTTATTCAAGCAATATAATCAAAGTCGATAAATCAAATCAAATTTCATAATGCTAATCGCCAAATCTGAATGGAGATCAACAAGAGTGAACACCAAAGGTTATATACTTATATATAACAGAAGCAGGGACGAAAACGTACATTAAATTGTAGGGTATAACCATTTCTGACGGTCTCGCTCACGTCCCGGAGCTTGTCGAAGAATAAGAACCTCCGGAGGCCGTACCGCCGCACGAAAGTGGAGAGAGAAACGAAGGATAGGGCGGCGACGACGGTGAGCGAGAGCTGGGCCACCGTGTCGTAGGGGCGGCTGTGGAGGCTGTCGCAATCGGCGCAGGCGAGGACGAAGTGGGACACCGCGGGGACCACAATCGCCATGGCGAGGAAGACCATCCAGGAGAGGGCGGTGCTGCAGGCGTCCGATTGATCCACGCACAGCCATTTGAGCCATGTTCGGAAGCTGTGGAGCTCGTCCTGGGCGTGGGACACGCACCGCGCGTACATCCGGCTCTTGTCTCCATAGCTGAGCAGATTCTTGGTTTCGTCCCCCATTTTTGCCGTTTTTGGGTCGAATTGAGGAGCAGAATTCTGGAAAAAGGGCTAATGGGATTGGCGTGGGTATGAGTTGAAATCCGTGCTTTGTTCCATTCCAAAAGTTTATATAGTGGCTGAAATCTTGGATGTGATTGATCTCGATTAGCTGTATTCACAGACAATAATCGTTATTCAATCATTATTATTCAGATTTGTATTTATAAAATATATATTTTCAGCACTATTATATGTTTTTGCAATTATATATGTATTTTTTTTTAAGGCGAGAACCAATGAAATTGTGTAATGTGGAAAAGTCGGTAGTCTATATTTTAGTGTGGGAGAGGTGACGAGGCGTTCAGAATCTCTCTTGTACAATTTTAAAAGTGCGTTTAGTCTAGGCACGGGACAGGTCCGGTCCCGGTTGTTAACGTATTTTTCAGAAATCGGAATCGGATCGTACCGAAATAACCAGTTCGGTTATTCTACATATATTCATAGGAACTGAAGAAGAGCCGAACTGTATTATAACGGTTGGGTTTTTACGGTTCTTTGGGTAACCGACTTATGAAAAAAAACCCTGCAATAACCGGTTTTGAGTTAAGAGTCGATAAAAAAATTACAACTCATGTGCTAAATGTATCATGATAAACCGAGAATCCAAATGAAAAATGAAGAACTGAATATTATATACCAAGAACCAGGATCGATTTATATATATAAACATATCAAACATGCATATTTCATATGTATAGTCGGTTTTTTGGTTAATACACAAATATTTTTAGAAAGGAACCGAGAACCGGAACCGATTTGTGGAAAAAATAACTGTAATCGAAAAAAATTGTATTTTTTTTTTGTAAATAACCGAACCGAAGCAGTTATTTTCGATTCGGTCCGGTTCGATTCTCAATTCTCGACTAAAAGTTCACACCCCTAGTTTAGCCGGCTCGCGTTCCTTGGCTGTTGTAATTCACACAAGTCTATACCTCCTTTGGTTAAAAAAGTCTACCAATACTGTTACCTCGAATTGAAAATTTGGTCTTGTAAGATTGAACATTTTGTAAAATTCGGTCATTTTTTAATTTCTATTGAAAAAATTGGTCAAACTCCCATCAAACCCAACGGGATTGTCACATGCGCTGCTGGTCGTTAGTTTGAAAAATAACAAAAGTATAAATTTAGTCCAACAAGACTGATCATATTGCAAGGGGGTGTCTATATGTACACCCCCTTGTGTGTAAAAAAGGGGTGTACATATAGCACTTTTCTTTGTGTAATTTATTAAAAGGGGGTGTACATATAGCATTGCCCTATTGCAAATTTGGTCATAAAGATTATAAAAAAATATTTTTTTACTTTTTTTTTGGCAATTTTGGTGCCCTTGTTAATCAAAAAGAGACTAAATTTACCCAAGAGCGCTTGGATAAGATGGCTTAGGTCTCTTCCAGCTTAACCAGTAGTCTCGTGTTCGAGCCCTGGGAATGCAGCAGTGTTAAAAGTTAAAACTCTTGAGGGGGAGCTTTGCCGCCCTTGTGGTCCTACCCGGCTCTATTCCGGATTAGTCGGTTCCCCTGTGAATTCAGAAACCGGAAGGTCCATGTACCAAAAAAAAAAAAAAAAGACTAAATTTGCTACTTGAGACAAATTCTGATATTCGTCTCTTATATTTTCAATAAGTAGTTGATATCATATAATTTCAACAAAATTATTTCAGTATTCTATATTGTATTAATATTTACAGTTAAATTACTGTACAATTTTTCATATTTAAAATTATTATTTTTAATTAAATAATAAATATATTAAAAATAACTATTTAATATTATTATAATTATAGAGGTTACTGAAAGTTTTAGAAAAAAATATCAGCTACTATTATTTTGAAAAATAGACCAAACTGATTGTCGGATCAAGAATCGATCAACTAAATTGTTCAATTCATTGTAACGAATTGGTATTCAATAAACTTGTCATAATCAGTTGTTCGGATAGGTCCATTTGTTTTTATTTTTTAGTTCAAAATAGTTATATACATTTTAATATAATGAAAATATAAAGTTTATATTTGATATAAAATTATCATATCAATTTGGTTATGGTGTGTGAAAGACCTCGGACTGGCTCAGTTTGACCCGGCTTGCCTTTTTCATCGATCAAAGATCTGTTTAACCTGCATAAGAGATGTTTCTCGACGAAGAGTCTCCGACGCTCAAGTCAGCATGTGTATGACGATGATGAACAATGAATGCAAACGTTGTAAATATAGAATGTATAGAGAGTGTAATGTTGTAATGGGCATGCTTCTCCCTTTATATAGGGGTGTGTTACCTTGTTGCCCAAGGGTGCGCTGCCTAAACTGCTCCAACTGCCTGAAATATCCAATTTTGTTAGGCCACATGCACGTATAGTTTTTATCTTAGTAAGATTCCTTTTTATCAATTAGTCTTCCTTATTAGACAATCTAATCGTGCGACCGACCTGAATTACCTCGAGGTGGAGTGCTTCATGTGCTAAGCTCTTATGCTCTGCTCATCTTCCAGCCATCACTCAGCTATGCCTTCAGGTCGAGTTTCAACCAGGCCATTCGAGGGTCCTAACACGACCTGTCTGTGCCTCTTAGACTCATGACATCCTCATCGACGTGAAGACTCTTCGATTTGTAATGCATTCAATCTCTGTTCGACCTACCAGTTCACTCGGTCCAGTCATGTTATTTCTCGGGTTAAGTCATACCAATAAGGTATCCCATATCATCTGGTTCCCTGCCCCCTCTTCCCACCATGGTCGAGTCAAGGTAACTCAATTTAAGAGTGAATGCGACTGTCTTTGGTCCTGGTAGATTAGCTCATCTCTTACTTCCTCGACCACTTCACTTAATTATCCTCTTACTACTGTGAATATATTCTATCTCTTGCCAGAGTTACTTTTTCAAAATTTGAATTTCAATACACGCCACTTATCTAATCGATTCAACTCAAGCGTGTTGCTTCACAGTCTGTGTTGTCCTCGTGCGGTGCACCTATTAAATGCCACATTGGTATCATCCATTCGATTTTCCTTTTAATCCGACGGTCAGCTTCGACCTATCCTTTCACCTGCCACTTTTGATATTGGCCATTAAATCCAATCTGATTCATCAGTTGAGGTAGATCCACCCCTTAACCTTCATTCTCCCACGCCTATAAAAGAGACCCTCAGCCACATTTGCGTAGTTTTTCACCTTCGCGAAATTCTTTAGAATACAACTCTCTCTCTCTCTCTCTCATGCTTTCTGCACAAATCAGACTTCCAAGTTCTCGTCGTCGTTGCACCATCGACCGCCTCCCTCCACAGTTTTTCGATCAACCAGGAATTATGTCGATGACCAAGTCATCTATATTTGTACTGATTTTTGCATGCGTGACTTTTTTCTTTTTAATTCCCCATTGAAAAACCCATATTAGAAATTCAAATTCTTCCCTCTTCAATCTTTTTCCTTCAGTGCCTAATTTTTTTTCTCTTTTTTTGGATTCTGCCACCTCCAGTGAGGTCTATAAATTCTCCGGCGAGAACATGAGCACTACATGTTCGTCCTCTTCGACTTCTTCTCCTTGCTTCACTCCTTCTCTTACCCCATCCTTGGAGGTTATTCCCTGGTCGATTCCCCATTTTTCTCAGTCTTCCCTGCCTTCTTCGACCTCACCCTCTTCTTCTAGACATGTTCAATCCTCTTCGGTGATCTTCCTTCTACGTCGACCTTTGAAATTAGTGATGAGCCCGAATCCGACGACGAAGAGCAAGCGAACTCCTCTCGTCGACCTGAACCAATGGTCAACTTCATCCCTTTAGGTCGACACATTCCTGGTGCCACTCAGAACACAACCCAGGATATGGCGACTGTCGCCCGTAAAACCTAGCTCGTTCATCACCATAAGGGCATATTGGCTCGATAGCTTCCTGGTCTATTGCCTAACACCCAGATTGGCGATACGTGTCACATCAACCTCTAGACACATATGACCATCCTGCAACTAGTTTCTACATTTTCTTTCGTGATCAGATGGAGTTAGGTCTTAGGTTTCCACCCAGTCAAACTCTTTTGGACCTATGTAAAATATACGAGCTCCTTATCAACCAACTTTCACCCAACTCAATATGTCACTTAGTCATTTTTTTTTGTATTCTTTCTTACTGTAGATTAGCCATATCGACCATAAATATTCCCTCTACTGCTGCGTCGCCCAAGAGGAGAACGGGACTTTGTATATCCAAGCTTGCAACGAAGCGAATTGCATAAGAAACCTCTCCTTCAACATTCTTAAGTGGAAAAATAAAATCTTTTTTGTTTGACCATCTTTTTCTCTTTCTTTCGAGTCAACGTGGTTGGATTATCTACATTCCTGGGTTATCTACCTTCTTAGGTTTGTGTCTTCAATCCATGCTCAATATTTCTCTGGGGCAGACCAGCCAACCCGAAGGCCTTAGTGATGTTGTGTTTTTGTCTTCGGTGTGCCCAACTCTCCTCTTAGGTCGTTTAAACAAGTGATCAGCCAGCTCGAAAGCCTTAATCATGCTGGAGTATTAGCGAACACGAACACAACCCTCCCCTTGGATTGATCAGTCCACCCGATGGCCTTAATCATGCTGGGTTTTTTCCATCTACCAACTCGCCTATTAGGGTCGATCAACCAACCCGAATTCCTTAATCATGTTGGGTTCAAATGTGTCTGAATTGCTTTTGATATCCGACATTCCCAACAATTTTCATCTTCAGCTTGATCTACATATTCCTCTATGGTGTTAAAATAATTGGGCTCTCCATATTACAACAAATAGTGTCTTTTACGATCGTACCAAGCATTTAGAAATTGATTGTCATTTGGTTTTAGATAAGTTTACAGGATTCATGTTGTCTGCCTTTGTGTCTAAACGGCTTCAACTTGCCGATATTTTCACCGAGATTCTCTTTAGGCCAAATTTTCGGACCTCAGTGTCCAAGTTTGGCATGGTTCCAGTTTTTCCATGCCGAATTGATC